AAGCCGGGGCCCCGCCAGCAGGCGAGGGGATCCCAAGGCAGGTTCTGGGCGTGGAGGCCACAGGGGCATCTGCTGCCAAGGAGACAAAGAATTGACCCTGTCAGGGGCATTGCCCCTCCCTCACTTGCACACCTCACATCACCCTGCTTGGCCCCGGAGGATGGCTGGTTAGCCAGAGACGGGTAAGATTCCTCAGGGAAGGAACAACCTAAGACAGGCACAGTCGCAGAGGGGCCATCAGGAGAGAACTTGGGGGCCAACTGAGGTGGGGCAGAGACCCTCACCCCCCCAACTCCGGCAAGGGCCTGAACCCTCATGTCTTCTGAGGGAGGTCTCCTGGCCCCATGGCTGCTTTACCTCCCACGCCTAGCTCAGATCGGGACCCAGGGAGCAGACAGAGACCTGGCCAACAGCGACTACAAACCACTGTAATAGGATTTATTCTCCATTTCTACCTTGGAACCACAGGAAAAGGGGCAGCTGAAGGAAAGGGCTATATCAGGAGGCCTTTCTTTCTCCCATTCCTTTCTAAGTGCCTTTGCCTTCAGTTCTGTCTCTGTTGCTTTGCTTCTTCTCCTTATTTCCCCATCTCTCCCTTTTCCCTCCCTGCATACCTTTCTCTTTTTCTCTTCTTTCCCTTGGTCTCTTCTTTTGCTTTCTTTCCTCTTGAGCCCTGTCTTGCTCATCTCCCTGCCCCAACATCCTGTGCCATACTTGTGGTGTGTTCTGGTCTTGGCCAAGGCCAGACCTGGCAGAACTGGTGGATACCTGTTGAGGCAGCGGAGCCCCTGGGCTCTCACCCCATTCCCTCCTCCCGGGGCTGCACAGGTGAGTAGGTGGAAGGTAAGGGGGGCAAGGTGGGGAAGGCCGCCCTAGGCTTAAAGCCTGGGCTGAGAGTGTTTCTTCTGTGGCACTTGGGATCAGGCAAGAGACAGCTAGCCTTCAAGGCAGTCCAGAAGGGGTGCTCTTGGTGAGGAGGGGAATGGGGGTTCTTGTCCCCAAGTACAGGCTGGGAAGGAGTGGGTGATGAGCAGGATGGGATGGGCTGTTCCTCGGGTTTTTGGTGTATTTGCTCCTAGAGCAGCCCAGGAGGCATGATGGCTCTGAAGCGTCACTTACTTCTGTCCCGTTCTTGACAGCGCCGTTCGAGAACGATTTCCCAAGTTATTACGCCTGGTAAGTTTAGCACTTTATTCTCTTCTAACAAGCACAGCCAAGGCCTTGTCTCTTATTTGTGACCACCGTGTGGGTGCAAAGATCCCTTTGAGAACCTGGCAGCAGTGGTAGCTGTCACCCTAGAAAAGCTCACATGAGATTCCGGCACACACTCTATACCTTTTTATGATTGACTTCTGGCCCTTTCCTCTTAGCTTTTCTGTGTGCTCACAGATCAAGTCATTCAGTTTCACATGTTACGTTCACTTTTTTCCACAGGATGGCCATGAGTTACCCCCTCCAATTACCTTTGATGTTGAAGCCCCCACAATGCTACCACCCTGCAAGGTCAGAACTGGGGATTGAACTAGAAACTTTTGAGTGGGAAACATACGGTCCTGTGATCCTAATTTCTTTCTTTCTTTCTTTCTTTCTTTTTTTTTCTGTGATCCTAATTTCTTGTTTGACTTCAGGGAAGCTATTTTGGAACCGAGAACCTAAAGAGTTTGGTCCTGCACTTCTTGCAACAGTGAGTATCCCATGAACCCCTGGGGCTGGGGATAGTGACTGGCCTGTGCATAGCTTGCTATTGTGTCCCTTTGCTTTCAGACACAGAACTCAGACTCTTCATTTCACTTTCCTTACAGGTACTATGCAATTTATGACTCAGGAGATCGCCAGGGTCTCCTGGATGCCTACCATGATGGCGCCTGTTGCTCACTAAGCATTCCTTCCATCCCCCAAAACTCTGCCCGGTGAGTGTCACATGTCAGAACCTACCCATAACCACAGGGTTCATTGGGATATAGGTCACAGTTCTGATCACCACCATCTTCCCCTCCTATTTTCCAGAAGCTTAGGTGAATACTTCAAAGGCAGCAGAAACGTGAAGAAGCTTAAAGATCCCAGTAAGTATGTCAGTCAAAATGGGAACAGTCATTAGAGCTAGCCAAGTGCAGGTGTGTCCTAACCTTGGTTTCTCTTCCTTGTGCTTGCAGCCCTGCGGTTCCGGCTATTAAAGCATACACGGCTCAACGTTGTTGCCTTCCTCAATGAGTTACCCAAAACTCAACATGACATCAATTCCTTTGTAGTAGATATAAGTGCTCAAACAGTAAGCACATATTCTGGCAAAAGCCCAGAACTGGGATGGGTGATGGGTTCTGCACTCACTGGGTGAGGGAGGCTCAGGCTCTGGTTGTGAAACCTTCATTGCTTGATGTGTTTTCTCTTTTAGAGCACATTGCTGTGTTTTTCTGTCAATGGAGTCTTCAAGGAAGGTAATAATCTTATGTTCTCCTGAATCTTTGTCTGTATCCTTACTTTCCCAACTATCTTCTCACTCATCCCTTTTCTTCTCTGACCTTCCTATTTTATCCAGACAATCTTAACTCCTACCTGTCTTAGATGCAGTGTGACAGAAACTTGGGGACCAGAACAGTGTAGATGAGTCAGACAGGTCTCCGTTTCCAGCCCTGTGTTTATTCTGTGGGTTTGGGAAAGTTACTGGACCTCACATTCTTTTTTTTCTGTTTTATAGATGAGGCTCGTAATACTCTTGCACAGTGGTGCTTTAGGAACTGAAATGACTTCAGATATTTTGCCAAGCCACAGGCTAAGCTCTTTCTGAGTTGCTTCACTTACTTCCTATTACCATCCTTCCTGTTAACTATCCTCCCTGATCTGTCCCTTTATTCTGCTTCTGTTCCCCTGTGTCCAAATAACCATCCTTACCTGATGAAGTTAGGATTCTTTGTATCAAGTATTGTGATCTGAGAACCTTTTTAAAGATTAAGCCTGAGTGACTCTAAGGAGCCATTGCTGCTGTCTCATTACAGTGGATGGGAAATCTCGAGATTCTTTACATGCGTTCACGAGAACTTTCATTGCTGTTCCTGCCAGCAATTCAGGGTAAGTGCTCAACTTGTCAGGATGGGTATCAGTCTCAGTCTTAGACCAGGAGTGTGATAATTGGAAAGAATTCTTTCTCAGGGAGTTACCAGAATTATAAAAAAAGCAATAAGTTGTTCATGAAGCTTGAGAATAACTATCAGTAGATTGGGGACTGAATATATAATAATTCTAGTGTGTTTGAGAAATAATCCTCCTAAACACCGAGTCTGTAGTCAAGAATAATGATAAAAGGTAACATGGGGTGGGCATGTGGTTATTAACCAGATCTGAGAACAGAGACAGTATAGAGGGTGAGGTTATTTGTCCATTTATTTAAGGTGTTCTTTCTCCCCAAGGCTATGTATTGTAAATGATGAATTATTTGTACGGAATGCCAGCCCTGACGAAATCCAAAGAGCCTTTGCCATGCCTGCACCCACACCTTCCTCCAGCCCAGTACCCACGCTCTCCCCAGAACAACAGGAAATGTTGCAAGCATTCTCTACCCAGTCTGGCATGAACCTCGAGTGGTCTCAGAAGTGAGTCTTGAGCATGGATAGGGCCAAGAGGAAACAGATGGTCTGACAGTGAATTATAGTACTTTAAAAAAAAAAAAAAGATTCCTACTAAGACTTCTGCACAAATGAAGAATGAATTGTTGCCCTCCTACCTACCTATTGCTTCCTTCTCCCCCCAGCAGAATTAAACCTAGACTTTATATATGCAAGGCAAAAAGTACCACTGAACTAATTTCCCTGGCCCTCTTTTGTTATTGTTTTGAGACAGAGTCACACTGTGTACTTGCCTGTCCTTGAACTCTATATCTGCCTACCTCTTCCTCCACAGTGGTGTGATTTAAAGGAATCAGCCATTGCACCTGGCCACCCAGTCATCTTTTTACTTGTCATTTTGAGATATGGTCTCACTAAGTTACCAGCTCTTTACCAAGTCCTGGACTCCACTGAGTCCTCATCACTCAGGGGAGCTGGGACTGTTAGGTGCATACCTGATTCCAGAGTCCTTTTATATATCATTCTGCAGCATAGTTTTGCTTTGAGACAGGGTTTCACCGTGTACTTGGCTGCACCATCTTGCCCACCTGCAACTCAGTTTTTAAACCATGAAAATCCTTCCCTTCCAGCATAAAAGTACTTTGGTCATTTTTGTTGGAGATTTTGACACTTTAATGTTTCCTTTGTATAAGTGGTGCAACAATGTATATACTTTGGTGACTTCCTTCTTGGGTTGGATTCTGGAGTGGTGCTTTTTTTTTTTTTTTTAAGTGGTCAGAGTGGCTGCATTTTGGTTCATATGTGGCTTCCTATTTTCATCTCACTCCAGGTGCCTTCAAGACAACAACTGGGACTACACCAGATCTGCTCAAGCCTTCACTCATCTCAAGGTAGGTCATGGAAATTGTGTGGCTGTAAACAGGGAGCTCTGAGCTCTGGAAAGGGTCACATGAACTGGCAGGGCAGATGGGAAAGGAGTCCTTTGGCTCTCTTCACCTTTTCTCTTTCTGCAGGCCAAAGGAGAGATTCCAGAAGTAGCGTTTATGAAATGATCACAGGAAAGCCCTTGTAAATAGCCCGTGGATAATATTGTTTGGCTGTCATCTACCATCTCCTGTCAACCGGAGGCCAGCCTGTAACTGTGACTGAGGGAGGGGTGCCTCATCCTTCTCACCTACCTTCTGGAAGACTTACGGAAGACTTCTGGAAGATTGAGCCTCATGGTGCCAGGAAGCCAAAGCTTACTTTGTAGAGCTGACACTAAACTACCCGAAGGACTTAGGTGCTCTGTGTACTTAACCCCTGATTCCCTTTACTTTTTAAGATAAAGAGTGATATTGTAGTTTGTGTCCCTTTACTGGCTTGTTTCCCTCAATGCAGAAGGGGTGGGAGACTGCGTCATGACAGGAAGTCCCGCCCCGGAGGCGGAAGTGCCCTGCCATGGCGGCACCTTGGCGGCCATGGGTCAGTGGATTGTTGTCCGGATCGCGTTCCTCTCTTGTATGCCGGCCTTTGCAAAATGTGGTATCACGGGATGTGCTACTCTTCCACCATGAGCGGGGCCGTTTCTTTGCCATCCTTGGACTGTTTTGCGCCAGCCAGGGCATCTTCTGGACCTCCCTGGCTGTTGCAGCCTTCTCCCGACCTCTGATCCGGATTTCTGGAGAGGCTCCCAACCAGAGCTACACGGACCTGCGCTCCGCACTTTCGCGATACGGGCTAGCTATTGGTTGCGGCACGATGGGTAAGGGCATGGGCTCCAGGTTGCCATGGGGCTGTGAGCACAAAACTCAATTAAGAAGGGTTCCCAATCTTTCCAGATGAGCAGAAATTTAAGTGGGATACCCGGCATGGATATGTAAGTCCCTGAATGCCTTGCCCCCTAACTCCCCACCCTGCTTACTCTGGCCGTGAACAGGCTACAGAAGCCAGGCACCCATTTTCTCTCCCATTAATAACGGGGCTGGCTATGTCGATATGGCTGTTTGTAGAGTGCTTGCTTAACTAGGCATGAGGCCCTGGGTTCAGCTCCCAACACTGCATAAACTGTACTTGTGGTGGCATTCAGATGTAGTATTAGTACTTAAGACAGTGGAAGCAGGAATATCACTAATTCAGGATTACTGAACATATAGCAAACTTGTGGCTCACGGGGATTAAAAGACCTTGTGGGGTTTTTTTTGTTGTGTTTTTTTTTTTTTTTTTTTTTGGTTTTTTTTTTTTTTGTTTTTTTTGTTTTTTTAATCTGTTTTTTCTTGAGGCATGGTTTCTCTTCATAACAGCTCTGGCTGTCTTGGAACTAGCTCTGTAGACCAGGCTGGCTTCGAACTCACAGAAGTCTGCCTGCCTCTGTCTCCCTAGTGCTGGGGCTAAAGGCATGCACCACCATCAATCACACTTTCTTTAAGTGGTTTGTTGAGTTAGGAGCACAAAATTCTGTTAAATGCTCAAAGGTGTTACTGCCATTTCAGGATTGTGAGTGTGTTCTATGGGGGGTCTGCATAACCCTTTACCCCCACTCTGCTTCTGCAGGAGCCTTGGTTGTTGGTGCTGGTCTTCTCTACTCTCTCCGATCTGTGCGTTCAGTCATGCTCCTTGCAGGAGGGCAGCAGGTGACACTTACCACTTATGCCCCCTTTGGCCCTGGGACACGTTTCACAGTTCCCTTGAATCAGGTTTCCTGCATGGCCCACAGAGGTGAAGTTCCTGCCATGTTGCCTCTGAAGATCAAAGGCCGACGCTTCTATTTCCTTTTGGACAAAGCTGGACACTTCCCCAACACTCAACTCTTTGATAACACTGTGGGTGCTTACCGGAGCCTGTGAAAAGTGGCTTGCCTATCTAGGATGAGGAGACAACCAAGGGCAATGAAAAGGCACCCCGAATTCACTAATAGCCAATAAATTGTCTTCTAAAGGGCCTGATGCACTCAAGCCATCATTCTGTCTTCTGTCCCATCTATATGCTTTAACACCAAGAACTCTATACAATGATGAAGAAAAAGTAATATTTTGGTATAAAAAATGTTAAGGTGAAAAAACAGGGGGGTCTCTTCTAGTTTCCCTCCTGGAGGGAAAATGGGTTCTCAGTACAAATAGGGCTGTATTGAGGCAAGAAAACTAAAAGCTCTTGGGCATGGAGGTTCTGGCTGCAGAAAGCACTGAATATTCTTCAGGAGTAAGACAGGTTACCCAATAAGAGCAACAGTCTCAGAGCTCCGCTCTGGGGTGGCTTCAGACTTGCACTGCACGACCTGGAGCATCAAGGCCAGACACCACAGTACCAGATTCACCCAAGAAGAGGTCTGTGAGAGAAGAGAACAGGAGTGTGAGGAAGGAAGCCATCTCCAATCCAGTCCTACCCACACAATGTTCAGAACCAGGTGACAAGCCCATGGTTGAGCTTTATAGGTAAGCATATATTACATGGTGAACACTCTTAAGCTACAGATACTTAATCTCAGTATATCCCTTTGTCTCACTTCAGCGTTTCGTAGGTTGGAGTAAAACTGCACAGCAGTTCCAGGGGGTGTCCATGAGGATTTCTGGGCGTCAGAGCAGCTGTGGGGTAAAGAGTTCTGAGAAAGGGGCCATGCTCTAAGCACATTTGTGTTCTTAGAGTAAAGGGCCAAAGGAAGGGAATAAAAGTGGAAACTTTCATGACTTGTCTCCTATAGAGGGAAAATGGTCCCTGCCAGGCTTCCCTCCCTCTCCCTTTACCTAATTGTATGGTTCAAGGAGATGATGGAATTGCAGAGAGAATGGGTGCCAAATCGAAGAATGCAGGCGGACACTAAGATCAGGAAAATGGCTATAGCTGAGATGGCCAAAGCAATTCGGAGCCCTATGGAACCTCTGAGGGAGAGAACAAGCTTTATAGCTAGATGGGACTTGTCTCACCCCAGCCCCTTGTCCTCAGTAGGGCAATCACCTGTGGAAATCTTCGATGCAGCTGCTGTAGATCCAGAAGAGGAGAAGCAGAAGGCAGTAGAGAGCAAAGAGGCCTGAAGTCCTAGCTACAAAGTGGCAGAGGGAAGGGGCTGAGGGACGTGACAAGGCCAGAGAGGAGCCATTGAGGGCAGCCACACCGTACAAAGGGCAGCTACCACCGAAGGAGCCCTGTGGAGAGAAGCATTGAGTGTTTGGTTCTAGTTCAGTGCCCCGAGTTGGCAGGTTACTGTCAGATGTTAGGGTAAGATCATAAATTAGGTGAAATGGAGGGGAGGGACTGATGTGAATCTGCTGGGAACCAAGTCTGCAGGGCCAGAAAGGGGTCAGAATCCAGTGGGTTGTAATATAAAGAAAAGCCAGGCAGTGGTGGCAAAAACCTTTTCCTAGCACTCAGGAGGATCTGAGTTCAAAGCCAGCCAACCTGATCTACAGAGCTAAGCTAGTTCCAGGACAGGCTCCAAAGCTATAGAGAAACCCTGTCTCTAAAAATAAAATTAAGAACCCAAGAGCCAAGCAGTGGTGCTGCACCCCTTTAATCCCAGCATCAGGAGGCAGAGGCAGGTGGACCTACGAGGATTGGGTGGTTGTGTGTGTTTGTCTGCCAGGACGGCCAGGGCTACACTGAGAAGCCCGGTCTCGAAAAAACAAAAACCTAAGAGAAATCACAAGTTTCGGCCTTCCCTGTGAACAGATTCTAGAGTAAATCCTGACCTTGTGTGCCCTTTAACAAGCAGCTTTCCCACTCTGTAATAGTAGGTGTCCTCAAAGTATTCAACTACCAAGACTGCCCAACAGTAGTAAACCTTAAATGTACTTAAGTGTATTCGTTCCCTCCATCACTACGTTTTGTTTGTTTTGTTTCGTTTCTTGACAATGTTTTTATTGGATGAATGCAAAGACTGGGCCTGTGTATCCAAGCACCCAAATAACTTTATGCAGCAGTTAACCCGTCCATCGTGAACTTGAAGATCTGCGTGTCTAGCTCCTTTAGCAAGGAAACAAGTTTGGGACTTCTAAGTCCCTAGCCCGGTGGAGCTACCGTGGCCAACCCCCAACGCCGGCCTGCTCGACCCCAAGGATAGCCCTCCCCGCAGCCGCACCTGGGTCCTGGTCAGTGCCGCGGCCGCCACAGCCCCGCACAGGAAGGCAGCAGCAAAGAGCGCGAGCTCAACTCGCTGCAAGCAGGTAAGCGCCATGGCGCCCAGACCACCAGGAAGCCAACCGCCTAAGCCCCGCCCACGAGCACAGACACGTCACTTCCGGCTTCGGTTTTATTCATGGCGGAGCTGCAGCCTCAGAGTGGCAGATACAGCGAATAGTCCGAGAGCGCCCAGCGGCGGGCCGGGCGGCCGGTGCGGCCGATCATGGGCAATTTCTGCACGTAGCGGGATGCCGGGCTGGGCCCATAGGGTGCGGGGAAAGCAGTCTGGAAGAGTCGCCCGCGGCAGCGCCGCCCGGCCTGACGCCCAGCAATGATAAAACGGAAGTGAGGGGCACCGCGGGGCGCAAAGCGGCTCTTCTGGAAGACATCTCGCGTCCCCGCGCCAGGACCCTGCTGTCGAGGAGCGCCCCGCGCCCGGTGCACGCGCGGCAGCGGCCTGTTCTCCGAGGCGGCGGAGGCGGCCGCGGGGCCCCCGCCGAGCGGGCTCTCGTCCCCCTGCGGGCTGACCACGGCACTAGCAGTCAGCTGCGGCATTTTCCGCACCGAGTCCGGAGCGGCCACTGGCTCCTTCTTGTCTCCAGGTGGTCGCGGGGCCGTGGGCGTGGGCAGGCCAGTGCCGAAGCGAGTGGCCAAGCTGTCACCGAAGAAGGCGTATAACTCACGGTAGATGTCTGCCAGGGTCAAGGAAGAAGGGTCCTCTGGCCCTGCGCCTCCTTGCGGCAGTGGGAGACCAGACCCAAAGCCTGGTTCGGCGCCACCCCCCGAAGGAGACTCTTGGAGGAGAAGGCTGTCCCAAGGCAAGTCCTCTGCACGAAGGCACCTTCTCCCGCCAAAGCTACCGCGGTTGGGCTCTGCTGCCTGGGCTTTCATCTTCAGTAATCTCTCTACCGCCACCTGTAAACAAAGAGCTAGTAGGAACCTGAACCAGCAAGCATGCAGAGTAAACCTGCTGAGCTACTGTAGGAAAGGGAAACTGGGCCTGGCTACTCACCAGAATAGCTCCATAGACTTTGTGTCCATCTGCTTTGACCTGGGCATTAGATACCGAATAGTCATCCAGCACTGCCTGCAGGTTTGTCCAGTAAGTGGGCAGATGTGGGTACAGGACTCGTTCCACTGCCTAGAAGGGAAAAAAAAAGAATGCAGTTAGCAACCTCATTCCATATGCCCTCTTGAGTACCCTTTCCCACAAAAGACCCACTTGGATTGTTGTCCAGCTCAGTCCTCAGTTCCCTCGTTGAGATATCCAACGTTTCTCTGGGATCTACTATATGTACAAGCTTTTGGAAGGCATGAGTGATAAAGATATACAAATACAGGCAATATAAAAAGACCCATTACTGGCTTTTATAGTGGGCTAATACAACATAATTAAATCATGACAGGAAAACTGTAGACTGCTAGTGAACACAATCAGCTGAAAAGGGCCGTTCTTACTAGAGAAACAGGAGCTGAGTTCAGACACATAAAAACAATCAAGAGACCTTGTTGAAATGACCTTGCTGAGCCCAGACTCTAGGATTATAGGCAGTGTATTACCACACATGGCTTTGATTGTACAATTTCAAATTGAGTAGTTATCTGGGGGGAAAGCAATTAAGACTAAACAAAAACTATTATATTCGAGATGGGCTTTGACATTTAAGGTAGACTTGGATCACTCATCCACAGAGAATCAACTTTTGAAAATGCTGACCATATGTCAAATTCCTAGGAAAAATATTACTGACAAAAAGAAATGAGGATTACATTTTAAATAACTAATGAAAGACACTGAAACATCTTGCTAAAATTTAGACATCAGTATACACTCAGAAGAGGGACCTCAATCATATAAAAATAAATCAGCAAGATTTTGAGGTATAAGTCTGTAAACCTAGCATTCACAAGTCTGATTCCAGGTTTGAGGCCAGCCTGGGCTTCACTTTTAAGTCTGGTCCACAGAGCAAGTTCCAGAACAGCCAGGGAAACCCTGTTTAGATAAGGGACTGGAGAGATGACTCAGCAGTTAAAAGTACCAGCTGCTCTTTCAGAGGACCTGGGCTCACTTCGAAGCACCCACACAGCAGCTCACAACTGTCTGTAACTCCGGTTCCAAGGGACAATGCCCTCACACAGACAGACATGCAGGCAAAACACCAATGCACATAAAAATAAAAAAATCCTTTTTTTTAATAATAATAAAAAAAAGCATCGAGGGCCCATCTTATAAAGGCACTTGCTATGCAAGTCTGGTGACCTGAGTTCAATGCCCTGAACCCAGGTCTTTACCTGAGTCTAAAAGAGAGAATTAACTGTACAAAGTTGCTATCTCCTCTGACCTCCACACATGTGCTATATAGCAAACATGTCCATACATGCACATCATGCACTTATACAATAATAAAGGATGAAAAATGTAGCTGAGTTGGCTGAGTGGTTGTCTAACATGCTGTAAGCCCTAGCTTTGATCCCAGCACTGCATAAACTAGGTGTGATGGTGCATGCCTATAACTCTAGCATGCCAGTACTCAGGAAGTAGAAGGTTCAAGATTACCTTCAGCTACAAACAAGTCCATGGCCAGTCTGAGGTAAATCAGTTTAATTCAATATAAATTTTTGTTTCTTTCTCATTTTTTTCTTTGGTTCTTCAAGACAGGGTTTTCCTTTGTAGCCTTGGCTGCTCTGGAACTTGCTTTGTAGACCAGGGTGGCTTCAACTCAGAGATCTGTCTGCCTCTGCTGGTATTAAAGGTATATATGCCAAAACGCCTTTTTTGTTTATCTGTTTTGTTCTTAGCACTATTTTTTTAAGCTAGAACTTAAGTATGCTTTTACTGATCATTTGGACTTCCTTATTTTTTAATACACCTCCAGTACCACGTGACTGCCTACCATTCTGCCAGTTTAGCTCAAATAACATGGCTTCTTTTATTTGCTTTTCCAGACAGGGGTTTCTCTGTGTTAACAGCCTAGACTACCCTGGAATTCAATATGTAGAAGAGGCTGGCCTTGAACTCAGAGAGTGTTGGGAATAAAGGCTTGTACCACCACACCAGGCACATTTTTCCCTTATTTTATCCTCCACAACTGGGCAGCTTTTGATTTACAGCTTGCCGGCCCTAGGATATTTTCCTTTTAAACTCTAATAAAATTATCCTTGATCTTAAAACACACACATATCAATTCTATTTCTGTATACCAACAAGAAACAACCGTCATAACACTATAGCAGCTTCACAGCAAGAATCTGGGAAGATCATAACAAAAGGGATGCGGTGGGAGGTCTCTGAGGTACAGGGAGGTGGGGGAGGTGCAGAACAAGACCCAGTTTCTGACAGCATTGCAAAAATCAAGTGTGTGTGTTCTCCTCAGGGCAATCATGAAAGCACCCTAAAAGACTGAAGATGTTTAAAAAAAAAAAAAAAGAAAAAGAAAAAAGAAAAGGAAAGGAGAGGAAATTTGACAGGATCAAGTCTCTAAAACTTAAAAAGAAGTCAATATAAATTTAAAATGAAACAAATAGAATTACTCCAAGAAAACTTCTGTTTACTATAAAACACTATAAAATATGCAATATAAAAGAAACTGAAGCCAAGTATGGTGCCTGAGGCAGGAAGATCACAAACTAAAGGCCAGTATGCGCTATAGAACAAGCACTGCCTCAAACAAAAAACCCAAACAGAAAAAAAGATAAAGAAATTGAGGGCATTTCCTAACATGGCGTTACGGAATGGGCAAGAATTCATTGGAGAAAAAAAAAAAAAAAAAAAAAAAAGGAACACACTATAAAGACCTTCAAACAGGAGTTTACATATAGACAGTGAAATAATCCTGGCCTAAGGCAAGGTCTCAATACATGGCATCAAACACATACCAGTTTTACCATAAAATATACATGAATGTGATTTTTCCAACACACATGGCAACTCAAGATCTATGAGAAAAGCCAGGGTTCTCACCTTCCAGCCTAGAGCATGCAGCCCTACCACAGCCCCATAGTGAGAACAGAGAGGCCGAACAGGGTCTGTCAGGACCTTCTGCAGGGAAAGCAGAATCTGCTGATAGAGGCCACTTACGAGGTCCCCATGAGTCCTGTGGGAGCAACAGTGAGGGAACAGAATGAGGTTCTGCACACACAGAGTTGAGCATTTGTAGGATACTCTGGGACAGACTTCTAGGTTTGCCTGGCCCAGGATCCAAGGGACAAAAGCCTGATATCTTGGTTATTTGTAACTGTACCCCTACCACAACCCAACTGACTCTGTAAGCTATCCCACCCTCTGTTCAGCTCCAGCCCAGTGGCTACCAGAAGATGTGGCTGAGTAGAAGGGCGGCGCCATCCCGAAGAGTCCAGTGATCATTCAAAGGGTTGATGGAGGCAGCCAGTGGCTCCAAGACACAGTAGAGCACACTGCCCACCAGGGATCGGACATAGGGCCCCAGGCATAGGTGTGGGTTCCGAATCAGGCTCCGTGCCACCTGCAGTAGTCGGTGTAACTGTTCCAGGTCATGGCTTACAGATTTCACCTGTTGGTAAAAGCAGGTAGCTCAGGAAGGCATGGAGACAGGAGCCTGCCACTCTTGACAGCATCTACTATGAGCCCTAACAGCTACAGGGTCGCTCACCTTCACTAGGAAATTGGTCACTTACCCCACTGACCACATAAACAAAGTACGGCAGAAGTGCAGCAATCTTGGAGTTTGTCTGCAGGTCCTGGAGGGCGACCTGAAAGGAACCACCTCAATAAAAGAGAGCCATAGGCAGGAGGGTGGGCTAGCACTGCACACATGTGTTACGTTAAATGTTCACACCCTGATGCAGAACATCCATCAGTTTTAACTGTGTGTTAATAAAACAAGTGGACACAGGCTAGTTGTGTGTGACACAAGAGGTGTGTGAGAGTCTGAAACCAGCCTGCCTCTCTTTCCAAAAGAGAAAAGGTGGGACCAGTGACATTAGTTCAGAGTTTGGTAAATGCATGTCGCACAAGCCTATCAACCTAAGTTCAAACCTCAGAAACCATGTAAACATAAGAGAACTGACCCCATGGAGTGCTCTATAGCATGA